GCTTACAGTCTCCTCGCTCTCTGCCTCTGCCCGGAACGTTCTCCTCACTGTCTTGGCCACGCGCGGTATCTGTCCCTGCACGCGCAACTCAGGGTCCGCCAGTGTGAACATACTCAAAGTCCAGAAAACTCAAGGCAACAATGACGTTATTTTGTGAGGTTTGTTGCTGAAAGGGTTTTGAAATTATAAGAATTAATGACACAGATTGGCTTAAAGTGAGCTGCCCCTTGGAGGATGGGGAGAATTCTGGTTGGTGGAGAAGAGCCTTCTATTCTGAGGGAATACTAAAACAAAGCCGTGATAGAATGAAACGTATGACACACGTGGGGCCAGCAGGTAGCTGTTTGGCTCTCACATGGGGCTCCTGAAAGACCTTAGTGGGGTTGAGGCTGAAATGGTGAGTTGATTTCTACGCTGTGCCCAGAAACGGGTGGAGGTGACACAGTGTGGTCCCTTCTGCACTTCCGCGGGAAGGTGGGTTTAAAAGCTATGAGTTAGTTGACTTAGAATCCTGTACTTGGGCAGGGATGATAGAGGCAGATTGCTAAGTATACAGTAAGCACTTAGTGTTTATCTGAAAAAGAGGGAGAAAGGAAAGTCAAACTGACACGGGCACTGTTCAGACTGTGGCGTCTTTTTTAGACAGTCCTTAGAAATCACATACGGGAAGAATGAGAAGGTAATTCAGCTAAAATAAATAGCAAATGACACGTTCATAATTCTTAAGGATGTCAATACATCCTTTCAACTTATCATGTCTCAGACTTGGTTTCTAAGTGATTTGAGTGAAGAGTTACCGAACGACATTGTAGTTTCGTATATTAAGAGATGATCGTTTATTTTCATTTTTCTCACTGCTGATTTTATTCGGTAGTTGGGAAAGAAGAGTCGATGATCGGGGAAGAGTTTACTATGTGGATCATAACACGAGAACGACCACCTGGCAGCGGCCCACCATGGAGTCTGTCCGGAACTTTGAGCAGTGGCAATCCCAGCGGAGCCAGCTGCAGGGGGCCATGCAGCAGTTCAACCAGCGGTACCTCTACTCGGTAATGAGGGAGTTACAAGACGTTAGCACAACCGCGTCCTCCAGGCACTTGCCCTTTTCTAACTTGGTGACTTTTCTCAAATGTTAGAGATTGCATTACAAGTTTATTTTTCAGTGGCTGTTTATAATTAGCATTTCTGATGTACATAAGCACTTTAAGTTTTTTTGTTTTTCTTTAATTCTAGTTTACTAACATCACTATACACTCAGGCTTTTGTCTTTATTTAGTGGTAATTCCACCAGTGCAATTTCTTAATAAAGCAGTTTGTCTTTGCCAGTTCCCAATCCTCTGCCTTTAATTATAATCATTTTGTTTGCTTTAGATAAAACAAGTTGCCTCCTGTTTATTAAGGCCAGTCTTTCCATAGTCCAGCTACTCTGATTCCCATCCCAGGTTCTCAGAAACAACGCTTTCATCTGCTTTGGCCCACCAAGTATGCATTCTTGGGATTACAGATAGTTTTGTCCGAAAACCTCAATGCTGTCTGAAAATTTGACCAATTGGTGGTCTATTTTTTGCCATAAGCAAACACCCACAATATTAATTGAGGGGAAAATCCCTTTGTGAAATAGATTTGATCACAGTAAGTAGGAAGTACGAATTTTAAGTACTGGGCATCTCTAGATAGTGTTCTCAGGCAACTCGAAATCCCAAAATCTAGAAGGGAGTTAGGAAAGATACAGAAAGGAGGCTTACCTCTTTCTTCAGAATCCTGCCTCAGGCTGGCACATCCGACTCCACTTTCCTCGAGGGTTAAGTAGTAAGTTCTCATTTGCGGATTGCGCCGCTCCCGGTTCTGTGCAGCCAGCAGAGAGTGGGCGGGCCAGCCCAGCCATCCCGCGTCTCCTGCTGCCATTGCTGGTTTTTCCATAACTTGTACAGAAATCTGTGTAAGGGTCCACCATTTAGCTGTGCATAGTGAACAGATGATATACTCTGTGTGGTTGAGCTTCACTGTACACATGAAAACCTTTGGGAGATGGCAGAATTAGGTGATAGTGCACATCAGAAGTGTGTTCTGCACACAGCAGAATGTTTAAGGACATTTCCTTAAACAGACTGAGGTTTGGTTATCCAAATACAACAGCAGGTCTAGGGTCAGAGTCTGGGCCAGTTCTGCGTTGGCTTGGTAGTGCCACCAAGTGCCCAGGTTCTCTCTGCCCTTGTGCTCCCCACTCCGGCTTCATGCTTTGAACCTTGATCTTCTGGATCTGCTGTCCCTGGTCTCATTCTACATCCAGGCAAAAAGAAAGGGAAGGGGAGACTGGGAGAGGGGATGGCTTTTTTCCTAGTAAGCCCCTGCCCTTTACTTGGAAAGGATGCCCTCACCAGGGACTTCTGCCTGTCCCTCATTGGCCAGACGTGGTCAGTCTGCTAACGCAGCCACAGGGAAGGCTGGGAATGGAATGTTCTTAGATGGACACATTGATACCACAGATAAAACAGTGATGTGGTTATCACAGAAGGAGTAGAAAATGGATATTGAGTACAATTAACGGTATCTGTTTATAAAATATTTATCAAGATGTGTATACTTGTATCATTAAGAAGTGATTTTACAGGTAATGATTTTTATATTTGTCATTCTTTTAAAATTGATGGTAAAATGTATTTTCTTTTGACTATATTTCTGGGTTGTAATACATAAGCATTAATAAATTTTTAAGTATGAATATATAAAAGATACTAATAAAAACATTGAAGTTCATTTGTCTGTATATAATACTGAAGTTTAATTTTATTAATAGGCATTTGCTTTAAGGAAAACTGTGGTAACTATTTCTTTTGGGCAGGGCGGGGCAGGGCGAGGTGATTAGGATTACTAATTTTTTATTTTTTAGAGGAGGTACTGAGGATTGAACCCAGGACCTTTTGCATGCTAAGCACATGCTCTACCACTGAGCTACAGCCTCCCCTTAGCGATTCTCTTTTAAAATAATATTACCTCATCTAAACACCACAATTTGCTATATACTCTCTGTCTCATGCCTTTGACTCCTGTAGACTGTTACAGAGTGGGCTAAAAGATTAAAATGTTAATGTCAGTATATCATTTCTAAATCATGTTAGAGAAACTAATTAAATTTTATCACTTGATTGACTTCTCTTAATCTATTATATTTTTAGGACTTTGTGTCTTTAAATTACTACATTCACATTCCTTTATTGTATTTTTTAGAGAATTATTATAAAATGTGATTCTGTCAAGTGCTTAGTTTATTCTTTTATATTAAAATACTGCTTTTAAATTTCATATATTAAAATACTGTTTTTAAATTTCTTCTCCCCACCCTCTTCTCCAATCAGGCTTCAATGTTAGCTGCAGAAAATGACCCGTACGGGCCTTTGCCACCAGGCTGGGGTAAGCGAATCGGTTGTTGGTAAAAATATCTGAAAGGTATATATAGCATATAGTTGTTAAATGCTCTGCTCACTCTATTTTTTAGAAAAAAGAGTGGATTCAACAGACAGAGTTTACTTTGTGAATCATAACACGAAAACAACCCAGTGGGAGGACCCCAGGACTCAAGGGTACGTATGTGCTGCGGCCTCCGTGTCCCGCACGCGTCTGCGGACAGAGCCAGGTCAGCCTGGCTTCAGGTGTTTCCTGCACGTAGAAGATGCTCACCGTGTGACTGTAACGTTACCTTTCAGCTTACAGAACGAAGAACCCCTGCCGGAAGGCTGGGAAATCAGGTACACCCGGGAAGGCGTGAGGTACTTTGTTGATCATAACACAAGAACAACAACTTTCAAAGATCCTCGCAATGGGAAGTCGTCTGTGTAAGTGAGGTTCTTAAATGCTGGGTGATGAGGACATAAAGGTTTGCTTCCCGTTTAGTCTCGAGGTTAGCAGCAAACTTCACATTGCACATCAAGAAAATCTACACAAGCAATGCTCTAGTTTACCCGTCTTTGCTCTGCCTTATTACAGAATGGGTTTGTGGCACAGAGTTCCTTAATAACAGTAGTAAATGCGTAGCCAGTGAGTGCTCTGTGCCCTGGGTTCTTCTGAGCGCTTTATGTACATTAGCTCATTTTATCTTCCAGCAGCGACTTGAGGTAGATACTGTTATTTTCCAAGTGAGGCTTAGGGAGCGTAACTCACTTACGCAGAGTCGTACAGCAGGTAGTGGAAGTGGCTTCCGACCAAGGCGGTCTGTCCAGGGTCTGCCCGTAACAGGCCCATCTCCTGCTGCTGCATCAGGGAGCGCGGTGGTCAGCAAAACTGAAGCTCCGGGTAAACATGACATCATTAAGCATTTGAACGCTCTCCTTCATCCGCAGTCTACTTAGGTATGATGTCCTTGCATCACTAGGGAAGGAGAAGCAGCCATAAAAGTCTCACAGATTCCCCCGTCACATCTGCCCACCTGTCAGCATCGGGCTTCGCTCTTCATCCTGAAGACGAGCTCGCACTGTCGCTCTCGAGTGTCGTCCCTCCGCTGGTGCACCGGAGCCCTGCTCTTCTCAGTTACTGCCCCCGCAGCCGGCTTTCTAGCCCCCATCATCAGCTTTTCTTTCTCTACTGAACTATTCTCACTAGCTGTTATTTCTCCTAGGTCAAAAACAAGCAAAAACCCCAGCTCTTCACCTTACAAATCCATCAGTGACAGTTCACTTCTGTTGCTACCCTTAGGGGAATATGACCTGGAAGAGCTGTCTCTGAATGGCTGTTTCTGATTCCTCTCTCAGACGGACAACAGGGAGGCTCCCTGGTCCTGGCCTTACTGAGGGCACTGGGGACCTCCGCGTTGTTCATATGGGGGCGGCTTTGTGAGTCTGTCTCATCTGACGCAGTCAGGAGCATTTGATGGAAATTTCTCTCTCCTGACTCAGCTTGCTTGGCATCCTTCTGCCTTTCTGGTCTCATTTCTTCCTCTCTTTTGTTGGGTCCTTTTTTTCTCTTCAGCCTCTTGAGGTTGAAGTGCCCAGAGCACTTAAGTCTCTCCTCCTCTCTCTCTGCTCCTTCCGTGGTGACCCTTGTCCAGGTCACACTAGTGACTCACAAGGCGTCTCTGGCTTGCGCTTTTCTCTTTAAGTTTTGCTTCACGCGTTCAGCGGCTCAGTTGATAGCTCCAACTCATAACCGCTTCCCGAGAGCCCCGTCACACCTGTCCGGCCTGGGCTGTTTCCCGTCGTGTTTGATGACGGTGTCACCCTCAGGTGTGCCGGGCTGGAAGTCTTGGACTCATCCTCGACTTCTCTTTCCCGCTTACCTCACACACAGTCAGTCCATCAAGAACTCTAGCTACCTGGCCTTCAGAGTGGATCCAGAATCCAGCTGTGGCCACCACGTCCACTGCCACCACTTGGATCTGAGCCACCGTTGTCTCACCGGGAGGGGTTCCTCTAAGCGTCCCTCTGCTTTCTACCCACGCCTCATTTAATGTTATTCTCTGTGTAACACGGGGACTGTTTTCCTTTTTTTTTTTTTAAGTAAAAAGTTATTCCTTTGCACGAAACCCTTCAGTGGTTTCCATCTTAATCAGAGTGAAAAGCGAAGTAATCACAGTGGCTTCCGGGTCCTTCCAGCTTCAGACCCCAGCTGTCTCTCCAGCCTCATCTCCGTTTTCCCCGCTCATTCACGCTGCTTCAGCCTCACCGGCCCCTTCCTGACACCTGAGGCCTCCACACCGGCCTCTTGCTTCCTCTTCACCCAGGCTCACCTGTGTGGCTTCTGTCCTCCATGTCTGTGCTCAAATACTGCTTAGTCTCTGAACCCCACTCTGTTCACCCTTTCACAGGTGAAAAATTCTCCCCACTTCACTCCATGTCCTTTTCACACTGCCTGTTTTCCCTTCTTGAGGAGCGGGAGTGGTGAGACATTTATCCCCCTCTACCATAGTGGTTGACTTATTCATTCTGTTTCTTGTCTGTCTCCTTCATTAGCACACAGGCTCCACAAAAACAGGTGTTTTTACCTGTTTTATTAACAGTAATGCTCTCACTGCTTAGAACAGTGCCGGGTACATACTGTGCATTTTTGTAGATATTTGTGGAATGAATTCACTTGACCCTGACAACAGAAGAGAGCATTTTTCATGCACTCCAGAATGTTCCCTTTGATGTGAAAGTTCTTTGCACTTTTCTCTTAGGCTGTCACTCAGTAGGCGAAAGGCCCAGCCCCTCTCAGTGTGAATAGACCCTCTCCCTGCGTGCTGCTCCCTCTGCCTCTTCCCTCACCCACCAGCTGAGCCGGGCCACCTGGGTGTCACTTGTTCCTGGGAATTCGATTCTGCTTAGCTGACTCTCTGCAGCCGTGTTTGTTTCTGTTTTGGATCAGGTTTAAAGTTCATGTCTCTTCTGTCTAGAGCCTCTGTCCTCCTTCAATTTAAGGGTTATCTCGAGGTTTTCTGTGAAATAGTCAGTAGTAGATTTTAATATTTTAACTGACTTCTTTGCAAAAGATCCATCATACACACACTCTCCCGGTGTGTGTGTGTGTGTGTGTGTTGTGTGTCCTCATTGCTCGAGTCTCTGTTGGCCCACTAAATGCATCTTTACTTTCTCTCTCAGCAAGTAAGTTTCCAAGGTCATTTGTAGGACTCTGGTACACTCCAGTTTCATACTGAGTATTGAATATGCAGCTTTATTGTGAGTTAACACATGGTTTGCTTTTATTTTTCTTTAGAACAAAAGGAGGTCCACAGATTGCTTACGAACGCAGCTTTAGGTGGAAGCTCGCTCACTTCCGTTATCTGTGCCAGGTACTGCGGTGGTAAATAAAGCTTCTGCTCGTAGCCATGTAGTCTTACCTCACACAGCACACAGGCTGGAACTCACATGGTATCATGATACTGTTTTTGTTTTCAGTCAAACGCGCTACCCAGCCATGTAAAGATCAACGTGTCCCGGCAGACGCTGTTTGAAGATTCCTTCCAACAGGTAAGAAAGAATTCATCAGAACGGAATAGTGCCGTCAGCCCGCCCTCTGTATCTGCAGCTCTTGAATCCATGGCTTCAGCCAACTAGGTAGAAAATAGAAGAGGAAAATGTGAATCTGCTTTACGCTGGCAAATGACAGGCATACCGTGTTGTGTTGCTCTGCACTTTATTTCTCTTTGCACATACTATGTTTTTTGCAAATTGAAGGTCTGCAGCAACCTTGTGTTGAGCACGTCATTCAGCACACTTTTTTCAGCAGCATCTGCTCACTTGGTGTCTGTGTGTCACATTTTCGTAATTCTTAAAATATTTCAAACTTTTCCGTTATTACTGTATTTGTTATGGTGATCATTGATCTTTGATGTTACTGTTGCAAAAAGATGATGGCTTGCTGATGGCTCAGATGATGGTGAGCGATTTTTTTAACAATAAAGAATTTTTAAATTAGGTATGTGTGTTGTCTTCTGAGACCGAATGCTCTTGCACCCCAATAGACTACAGTACAGTGTAGCTTCTGTAAGCACCGGGAACCCAGGAGATTCCTGTGACTTGTTCTGTTGTGGTAACTCTCTTTATTTCGGTGGTCTGGGGCCAAACCGGCAGTATCTGAGGCATGCCTATACCTGAGTAGTACGTACACTGTCTTAGGTATTGTAAGTAATTTAGAGATGATTTAAAGTGCACGGGAAGATGTGCATAGGTTACATGCTTGCGCATCCTCGGATTCTGGTGTCTGTGGGGGTGTCGTGGGACAGCCCACCTCGGATACTAGGGAACACTGTACAACTTGTCCCCTTGCATTCTGCATCTCTAAAGGGAGTTAGCACTTAGAATTGTAAATTATTCAGAACAGGAAGGCTACCACAAAAAAGAGATAACAAGAGAAACTTGGCAAAAAAAAAGGGAAAAAAAAGAATAACTACTGCTTACTGATTGTCCATTATAATATTGGTCGTAAGAAACCCCATCACGTGTTGAGTGACTGCCTTATGCTTGGCATTAGCAGCGTGTATTCACCATTTCGCTTAATTCACCCTCACAGCATCCCTTTGAGACAGCTCCTATCTCCCTTTTACAGGCAGAGGTACTTAGGCTGAGAGACAAAATTATTCTGCCATAAATTAGATTAGTAAAATGAAGCTTAAAGAGCTTCTGGAACAAGTTGATGCATTTTGACACTTAATTACTTTTCTAAGACTTTATTAACTGAGAGAAAAACGTCTTGATAATGCTACTAAATTAAAATTAGGTTGGTATAGGTACTGTATTCCATTTAAATACTCCTTTAATGACCCCAGTGTTAATTCCCACCTCCTCGGTTTCTGTGTAAGTGCCGTGATCCCGGGAGACCTGCCAGCGCCCCATGCAGACCCCCGCTCACCTCCCTCGCGGTGCCGTTACCGCCGCTGCGCTGTAACACGGCCGCTTCCTTTATCTCCCTTCCTGGAATTAGGCCCCAGGGGAGCACAGCTCTTTAGTTTGCTGCCGTTGCGCGCAGGACCTAGGACGGTGCCTTGCACATGGCAGGCATTAGTAAACTTCTGGTGCGTGAATAGGTGAATGTAATAGGTCTGCCTTTCCTAAATCACCTGCAGAATACTTAAAGATAAAAAAACCAAAATATTGTCAGTTTTTTTCTGATGAGTTCGAGAATTTTTCTTCTTAGTCCCCTCCCAGCGTATTACAGCGATGCGCTGGATTCTCCGTGTACACAGACACACGGGGACTTCTCTGTATACGAGCCAAAATGGAGTAACAACTCTCCGAAGTCAGAGACGTTCACTGCCCAGCTGCATTTTACTAGCTTTTGGAGTCTGGGCAAGATACTCAATGTAGCTACTATCAGAACTTTTTTTGGTTTAATAAATTCTTAGCTAGTCCAAAGCTCTGTTTGAACTTCACTTTAGAAAGCATCCATCTAAATTCAAGGTAGATTTGACTGTGCTCTGTCCCCTGGCCCTGGGAGACTCGCGCCGTGCACGACTGAGCCCGTGGCTGCCTGTGAAGTGAAGGCTGCTGCCGAGCTGTGCCCCGACCCAGCCCAGGCTCAGCTTTGGTTCTGACGTTTGTTTGGTGGAAGTAATTCATTTTTATCCAAAAGTAAAGCCTATTTACTAGTAACCTTAATGCAAGCCTTTAAGAACTGTAAAAATTTGGTGTAGGTATTGTTTGAAGATACGCTTTCTTACACATAAATTCATCATCTTATAAATAACTCTTTACAACAGCTGAGATCCCTTCCTTTTTCGAATGGCAAGCATGGTTTAAAAGCAGGACCCACAGCAGTAACTTCCGCTTCTCATTGAGTGTTGCTAGTCAGAGAAATCTGCTGGTCACCTTTTGCAAGATTTTGGTACAAGTTGGAGAGTGACAGCGGAGGGGATGTTTTCCAACCTTAGAAACTGTGTCAAACTCTTCCTCTCTTGCTCCTCAAAGCAGAACTACCATTTAATACTAGAAGAAAGGAAAGATACTATATGAAAGTGGATCAGAGAAAGCTTAGTAGAGTAAGACACAGCTGTGCTAGTTTGTGGAACAAATCACTTGATATGTATCATGAATTAAAAGCATTGTCGTCTAAGATAAGGAAATGTGTAATTTTGAAAATACAGATGAAATTTAAATAGAATTGCTTTGGAAGGATT